AACTGAAGACACAAATAACCTAAAGAGAAAGTTCCAGACAAAACTAGAAAAAGCCAAATCATTCACCTAAAAAAATTAAGAGCATTAGTGAAGAGATAACACCAGATCTGCAAACATCAATCACAATGCCTCACACATAGAGAATTTATTCCATATAATCTAATTCCCATCCCTCCCTTTCTTATACATGCATGACAAATGGACATCTAAGTCAACATCAATCTCAGCCGGCACCACGGCTCACTAGGCTAGTCCTCCGCCTTGTGGCACCGGCACACCGGGTTCTAGTCCCAGTCGGGGAGCCGGATTCTGTCCCAGTTGCCCCTCTTCCAGGCCAGCTCTCTGCTGTGGCCAGGGAGTGCAGTGGAGGATGGGCCCTGCACCCCATGGGAGACCAGGAGAAGCACTTGGCTCCTGCCTTCGGATCAGCGCGGTGCACTGGCCATGGCGGCCATTGGAGGGTGAACCAACGGCAAAGGAAGACCTTTCTCTCTGTCTCTCTCTCTCTCTGTCCACTCTGCCTGTCCAAAAAAAAAAAAAAAAAGATCAATCTCAAGATACACCTCAGTGGCATCCCACTTCACAAAAATAAACATAAAAATTCTTAGAGTGTTCTGGTACCACTCTCACCCTTACTAGGGAGTTCTTCCTCGAGATGTCCTCTGTATATTAACATAGCTCGCTCACTACTTTCTGCTCAAAGAAAAAAAAAATTCCCTGTCTCTCCCTTACCTTGCTCTATTTTTCTCCCCATCCTTATCTATCACAAAACTAGGCACTTTTAATACTACATGTTCACTAAATCCTTTGACTTAGAAGACAAGACTGGAAAGAAGAGCAGTTGTTCTCTAGAGTACATGGCTTAAACTATCTGAAGTTTAATTTGTCATGAAACATCGTAACCTCATCACTGAGTAAAATTAGCTATGCTGCTTTATGAAAAGTCTTATTATTTACTCTTAGAGCACTTAATTCTCCAAGATTTCTTATTAGGAAAGCATAAGCTATTCCAAAATTCCAAGTGAGAATTACATGAGGCACTCGATAATAAACAAATTACCCTGAATTTTCCAGTTTTTTTGTGTGTGTGTGGTGTTTTTTTTTTTTTTTTTTTTTTTTGACAGGCAGAGTGGACAGTGAGAGAGAGAGACAGAGAGAAAGGTCTTCCTTTGCCATTGGTTCACCCTCCAATGGCCGCCGCGGTCGGCGTGCTGCGGCCGGCGCACCGCGCTGATCCGATGGCAGGAGCCAGGAGCCAGGTGCTTTTCCTGGTCTCCCATGGGGTGCAGGGTCCAGGCACCTGGGCCATCCTCCACTGCACTCCCTGGCCACAGCAGAGAGCTGGCCTGGAAGAGGGGCAACCGGGACAGAATCCGGCGCCCCAACCGGGACTAGAACCCGGTGTGCCGGCGCCGCAAGGCAGAGGATTAGCCTAGTGAGCCGCGGCGCCGGCCCAGTCTTACCACTACCCTGCAAATACACCTATGAAAACCATACCATACACCACTTTTTTTGACAATAAAATCTCAGTTCCGCTAATGAAAGAAAATAGCAGCTGGACATAAAATACAGATATTCCAGAAACATGACCTTAGCCAAGAACCCAAAATTTCAACACAATGCAATCCTCAGACAAAACCCAAATTTAGCAAGATCTCAGTACAAGGAAATCTCCCTGAACTGCTCAAGGCACTCCCCAACAGTCCTGGATCACAGATTTTATGGCATAGGTCGAAGTCTATTCAGGCACTTAAGTAGCTTACATTTTTCCATCAAATATTTTACTGCTAATGGTAAAAAGAAATTTAGTTACAAGAGTGGAAGGAAAAAAATGAACCGAGTTTTGCTCTCTTTTTGTAAGAGAATTAAGATTAAGCAAAAACTTTGAGAAAACAAATTATATCTGTCATCTCTGAAGTAACAAAGAAATAAAACGTGTTCAAACCAGCCAACAGCCATTTTTCAGGTTTAGAAAGTGTTTAGCAATTAAAAACACAACACCAGAGTTTTCATTAAAATTTAAATATCAAGTCTTTATTGAAAAATCTAAAACCTCTCATACAATTTCAAAGTTTTAAGTAAAATAAGAAACAAAATTGTGAGCTCTTAAAACAGTGGTGTTTTTTTCTTATACAAGGTATATGAATATTTATACACATATAACTGGAACCTATACTACACATATTCTCCCAGTTTTTAAATCCTGCATAATAATATGTATCAGGATCTATTTAATCAATGTCCTACTTTTTGATTCTTAGCTCTTTCTTATTACAAAGCTGCAGGGAACTTTCCTTATATGTATTTTTGCTAGATCAAAAAAAGAACAAAGTTTTAACTAAAAAAATTTATTTCTGAAAATATATCAGCATTGATTCTACAAGTGAAAGTGAAAACAAATAATGTTAAAATATTTGATCCTGTAGTACAAATGTCATTTTTGGGGTTCTGACTCACTCACACCCCTTTGTCTTTGTCCTTTTTATTCAGTGTTCCAGAGGATACACAAAGAAAAAAAATCAGAGAGCAGGAAGAGGTAAAACTTACCATACTCTTCAGAGTTAAAATCAAAAACACGAAACACCCTCTCAACCAAGGCAGGTCCCACCTCAGGGAAAACTGAGAAAATAGGCATTCAAATAATCTCCTTCAGCATTTAATTCCCTCCTGGGAAAGGCCAAAGGCTGAAGTATATTTCACTCAACGTACATAAAGTAAGACTAAGTGCCACACTAACAGAGCTACTAGGACAGCTTTCTTTTTTACATTCAGAATGTCATTTCACTACTTTTACAACTGAGTTGGCTTGAAAATGTAAATAAAGTCCCCTTTAATTTTAATTTTTCTTTAATTATTTTAATTTCTACTAATTTTTTGAAAGGCAGACAGACACACAGAGAACTTCCATCAATTAGCCAGCCACTCCCCAAATACCCACAACAATCAAAGCTTGGCCAGGTAGAAGCAGGGGCACAGGAGCGCAACCCAGACCTCCCACATGGGTGGCAGGGGCCTGACCACTTGAGCCACCAACTGCTGCCTCCCAGGGTCCGCATGAGCAGGTTGCTGGAGTCAGGAGCCAGAACTGGGCCTGAAACCCAGTCACTTCTCTATGAGAGCATCGCAAGAAGCATCCTAACTGCTGAGATGAACACCCACCCCCTTCACAAAACGTTTAACTCACCATTTTCAGGTGAAGCTGTCCTGCACTGAACTATAATGAAAGCATAACTGCCTAAAAGAGTATTTTGCGCTCTGATGAGAATCCTGCCCACTGAAACAGATCCTTCTATTACAGAGTCAAATATACTTGTGGAAGGGCTTTATCATCAACTGGGAATCACTGTACAGACTCAGAAGTTATATGCACACGCTTATTCTATGTGTGAAGTTAATATCAACACGACGTAGACAGTCTGGTGACATAGCCAGTGTCCACTGAAAACAGCCACTTTGTTTTCCATAGGACTGTAACTGAAAAGGCACTTACTGCCTTCAAATACAACTGGACTTCGCTAGCAGAAAGCTGTTCAGAGCACCCCAAAAAGTATCCTTCATATTTCAGTCACACTAACATCAGAATAAAAACAACGATCCCTCTTTTCACCATCCCAAATGGGAAAAAAACATATCAGGTCAGCATTATACACATTTTGTACCGTGGAAGGCAAAATAATTCCACTACAGACTAAAGGCAATGAAAACACCACCTTCAGAGGGTTTGCTTCACATTTTCTAAGAGAACAAAAATTGTGAATGGCTTTGCCAAAAAAGGAACAGTTTTATAACTGGACATTTTTTCTTTCTTCCTTCCTATTTTTCTCTTTAAAAAAAAAAAAGACATATTCATGCCTAATGATTTAAACTCGTGAAACCAGCTGAATTTTTCAACCCCCATCTTGGAGAAAGAGCCGCCAAGTTTAAAATCCGACAGTTGTCTATGGTACTAGACCAAAACAGGCTCAGGAAAGGAAATCCAATGGAGGGAATCATCTAAACCAATCAGAACTAAGAAGAAAAGGTGCCCATGGTTCATCCAACAGGTGGCTTCCAAGCAAGCCAGGGTTGGTCAGGTTCCATGAAAACCCTCACGTAGCTTAATTGAGTATCTTTCGAATACAAATGTAAGTGGTCATTTTTGTACAGAAACGTCCAATAGAAAAAGTTATGGGTTCTCAAACTGTTTACACTTGGAAGTAACCTCCTAATCTTTTAAAACCATAATGCTCTCTTCCAGTAGGACATGGGACATTTTAAGTCAATTAAATGCTGCTTTTCAAAGAATTTCAAGACAGGAGACAGCATCAATCTGAAATATCACAGAAGCCACAGGAAAATCTCAGGTTTAACAACAGAGCTGTATTTGCAGGACTGTTTATACAATCTCATTAGGAGATGCCAAACTTTTTCTCCTTACTGGTAGCTTAAAATCAGTTCGTTACACCATTCAAATTAAAATTAACAAAATGGCATTTCCATTTCACAAGTACTAAGCCACCAAAGCCGAGACTGCTACAGGATGCGTCTCCCAACGAACGTAGTGAAACTATGTGCAATCAAGGCAAGAGCAACATAAAGTATACACTTTAGCAACATTTGGACAAGCAGCTGAAAAGGAGGCAAGGCGAACACTTCCATTTTGAGCATGCTCACCCCCCCACCCCAAATTCCCACGCACGCCTGTCTATCAAGTTTAAAGGCTCACCCCCTGTACCAGACAGTCACGCCCCTCTCTCCCACCCCTCCCCAGCGCTCCAAGGTCAAAGGGCTCCGGACAGGACGACAGCAGCACGTGACAAAAGTTTCTCCCAACACTTTCCCTCTCGAGACCGGAGGCAGCCAGCGCTCCCACCCGGGGCGGGCGCGGGGCTGCGGCCCACGGAGGGGCCGGAAAGGGGCAGACCGGGGGCGAGCGGAGACCCCCGGCCCGGGGCCCAGGAGCCGAGGACGCGCGGGGAGCCGGCACCTCCCGAGCCCGCGGCCCCGGCCCGGCCTGTTACCTTTTCCTGCTCCTCGCGGAGCCGCGCCACCTCCGGGGCGCGCAGCGGGGCCGCGGCCGAGGCCAAGGCCGCGGCGTGGGGCTCGGGGTCTGGCGCGGCCTCCATGGCGGGGGCACTGGAGGCCTCAACGGGGCGAACGAGTCCTAAACAAGTGTTTATGGAGGCGGCGCGGCCGGCGGCTGCCCAGCGCCCGCGTGCTCGCCCTCATGCACTGCGCGCCCGGCGCTGAGGAGGCCGCGTCTGCCTTGGCCGCTGCCTCGGGGGCCGCTGTTCGCGTCCGGGCTGCCCGCGGCCGCATCTCACACGCGCATGCCGCCCGCCACCGCCGCCGCTGCCGCGGGCTCCTAGCAGCGGGCCGACCGCCGAGATGCAGGAGGCGCCTCTGCCGTGGCCGGGCCCCGCCAGGCGTCCCGTGGCGGCCGCGCCTCCTCCGCGCCTCCTCCGCAGGCCCCGCCCCGCGCGGCACGCCGGGAAGCGCGCGCAGGCCCCGCCCCTAGCGGAGTGCACGCGGCGGGCGCGCGCGCGGCTGGCCTGGACCGGGGCCGGGCGTCTGCAGCCGGGCTGGAGCTCAGGTTCCGGCGGCCGGGAGCCCAGCCCCGAGTGTGCCTGCGCCTGTAGCCTGTGTGCCCCAACCCCCTCCAGTCCTTCAGCCCTGTCTCTGGCTGTAGGAGCTGAATTCATGCACTAAAGCTGTTTCCTAAGCACGTTTAAGTTGGGCAAATTCCACTCTTTCCTGAGCCTTTTGAATGAGTTAAAATAGACGTTTTCGTGTGTATTAATTACTGTACATATTATGATCGTGACACATCTAATAATCCACCCTAATACTAATATGTTACCATGGATGACTAAGAGAGTTTTCCCGGGTAGTTTTACCCACAAAATTCCTCTTATTGTAGAACTCCCGTGCCCTGTTTCTCCTCCACCCTTAGTACACACAAGGCGCCAGATGAATCTTACTGAATGGAACTGGGCTTGTCCTAACCTGGTCTTCTCCACCCCCGCCCCGCAGAGGGGAGCGCTGTTCATCCAGGGTTCTGCAGATGCCGTGGGCTGGGGGTGCCTGCAGTTAGCACCCCGGCGCACCTGCTTGCTCTACATCTCTTCCCTCACCTCGCCCACCCCCGCCAGCTCCCGTCCAGATCCACCTTTGTTTTTCTTCAAAGAGCAAAAGCAAGGATACCCTGGGGAATGACCAGTGTTGTCTTTTCCTCACTGTGTATCCAACCACCACCACCTCTGAAACACGAACTCACCACCCTGCCCCCTCCCCCGGCACCGCTTCATTCATCCGTCCTCAGCTGCTTGTGGGTTCACTTCTTCCACTCTTGGCCACCGTCCTCCCCATCCCCCCAACCCCTGTTCAGGGGGTCAACCCTGGACCACATAGCCCGGTCTAAGAGCCGCGCATTGTCTTTGTTCCTGGTTGGTTCAGGAACAGACATGGGAAACCCCACGTTTCGAGTTTTCCTGGAGGTGTGAGAAGGCTTTTGCTCCTTCTCTGGAAGCACTGCCATAAGGAAACGAAGGATCTCCTTGCCGCGCAGGGAGCTCTGTGTGCTTAAGGTGGTCCCGAGCACCGTGTAGACACCTCCTAGGTTCAGCAGGAAGTTCAGTCTCGCCCAGCAGAGCTGAGACACAGAGCCTGGATCCTTGACTGCGCTGGGGAACGTGATTCTGCTTGAAACAACCCGAGTCTGCCTTACCTCTGGACTTCCGGTTCACTAGGCCAGGACATTTTCTGACTGAGCAAAGCAGTTCGCATCACATTTTCTGTTACCACCACCGGAAGGAATCTGAGATTCACACCTCCCAATCCCATCCTCCATTCAGGAGCCTGAATGAGCTTTTCAAAAGGCAATCCGACCCTAACATGTGCTTTCTAGAGCTCCCTACTGCAACTAGAATGGAATCCAACTATACAAGAATTCTGCCTTATCACACCCATCTTCCCCATTACCTAGGAAGCCCCTCACACCAGCCACAAAGAATTCTCTGTTCTCCACTCAGACCAGCTTCCGCCTCAGGATCTTTGCACTTGCTGGTCCCTCTACCTGAAATACTTCTCCCAGACCTTTGCTTGCTTGACACCTATGCAACACTGCAGGTCTTGTTTCAAATAAAGTCTCTCTGTTTTCTTTTCCAAAGAAGTTCCTCCCATCTCCCGCAAGCACCCACCATCACCTTGCTTTTTGAAGTTTTCTTTGTAGCTTATCAATCTTTGGAATGGTCGGTTTCATCTGTGGCCATGCTGGTCATCACTTCTCTAAAGTGTCAGCTCCCTGAGTGCAAGAATTTGGACTTTCAGTGAGGATTTGCAGCTTCCTTCTGCTAGACCTGAGACCCTGGCCCTGCGGTGCTGCCCTGGCCCTTTCTGTGTCTGCTCTGTGACCTCCCCAACTAAGTGCAAACGACAGACAAGGGAGATGACTGTAAGTGACGGGAAGCTAACCAGCCTGCCTCCTGTCGACTGCTCCCTGATAATCAGATATGGCAGCAAAGGAGTTGGGCTTTAACCGCAGGCAGAGCCAGTTTTAGCTCCATCTCTGCCACTGCCTGCTGAGAAGCCTTAAGCGAGAAACTTCACCTCCCTCTGAACTCTCATGCACCTGTCCACCGAAAGTTAGAAAAGGAACTGCCTGGGGCTTTTCCTGAAGAAGAAAGGCTATCACAAATGGAAAAGCCAACAGGTAATGGCTCCATCCCCCTGAAAATCCATCACATTATATCCACTTGTCCGGGGAACATCATCCATCTAGCAAAGTAAAAATTTCGGTATTTGTTGATCTCCCTACTGGGACAATTTGGTTTATAACTCCACTTTTTCTGCCTTGATTTAAAAGGCAAATGCATAAACCAAAAGGATAAAGCTGTTAATGGGTACACAATGTATTATGTAAACTAGGGGTTGCTGTGGCTTGGAGATGTTCAAGTGTGCCCCCCAAGGTTCAGTTATTAGCTGGTCCTCAGCATGGTGATGATGGTGTGGAACCTTTAAGAGGCGGGGCCTCATGGGAGGTCCTCAGGTCCTCAGAATGGATGTGGGACCCAGTCTCTCCCTCTGGCTTCCTGTCTGGCAATGTGATCACTTGCTGCCCTGCACATCCTCCACTGCCATCTGCCATGTGGAGGTGCAGCCAAGTGAGTAGGGGCCTTGCCAGAGACAGAGCCATGCTGTTTGGACTTTCAGCCTCCAAAATTATGAGCTAAGCAAACCCTTTGGCTTTATAAAGTTAGCCTGCCTCAGGTATTTTGTTGTAGTAATACAAAATCAACACAGTTGTAAATTTAAAATAGTGATCGTAATCCTAACACCTTAATCTTGGATTTCAGGTCTTCAACATTATGAGAATATAAATTTCCGTTGTGGAAGTCACTCAGTCTGCACAAAATTGTTGAGCTGTCCCCAGCAAACTGACACATCAATAATCCAACCAGGAAAAGAAGTACAAACTAGACCAAAGCTAGGAGAAGGGAGGAGTAACAATGATTAGAGTGAAGAATAGAGAATAGGAAAACAAGAGGATATCAATGAGAGCAAAAGATGATCTGTTGAGAAGATCATCAGGAAAATCAAGAGAAGACTCAAATTGCTAGAATCAGAAATGAAAGTGGGACAGTGCTAGTTGTTTTACAGAAATATATGGGATTACAGAAGAGTAATATGAACAGTGGTATTCCCCCAATGGATGAAATGGAAAAATTCCTACAACACAAGCTGCCAAGCTCACCCAAGAAGAAATAGAAAGTCTGAGTAGACCTATAACAAATCTTAATAGACCTATAAAAAGTGGTAGACCTACATTAGTTCAGGAATCAAAGAACTCCCAACAAAGAAAAGCCCAGGAACAGATGGCTTCACAGGTGAATTTTAATAAACCTTTCAAGAATTTACAATAATCCTTCTCAAGGTCTTCAAGAAAACCAAAAAGGGACCACATTCTCTGAGGCCAGTAAGACAAAGACATGGAGAGAAAACGACAGACCACTGTTCCCTATGAATATAGATGCAAAAATCTTTGACAAAATACTAACAAACTCTATTCAACAGCATTTTTTATTTGACAGATGGAGTTAGACAGTGAGAGAGAAACATAGAGAAAGATCTTCTTTCCATTGGTTCACCCCCCAAATGGCCGCTGAAGCCGCAGCTATGCCGATCCAAAGCCAGGAGCCAGGTGCTTCTTCCAGGTCTCCCATGCGGGTGCAGGGCCCAAGCACTTGGGCCATCCTCCACTGCCTTCCCAGGCCACAGCAGAAAGCTGGACTGGAAGAGGAGCAACCGGAACTAGAACCAGCACCCACATGGGATGCCAGCACCGCAGGTGGAGGGTTAACCAAGTGAGCCATGACACCGGCCCCCTCAGCAGCATAGTTAAAGGGTTATATATCATGAGCAAGTGGGATTTGTCCCAGGGATACAGGGTGGTTCACCTAAGGAAAATCCATCAATGTATTGCAGCGTTAATAGAATGAAGAGGAGGGATTGGTGTTGTGCGCAGCAGGTTAAGCTACTAGTTGTGATCCCAGCATCTCATATAGGAGCTCTGGTTGGAGCCCTAGCTGCTCTGCTTCCAAGCCAGCTTCCTGCTAGTGTGCCTAGGAGGACTGCAGAGGTTGCCCTTGGGTCCCTGCCACCCACATGGACAACCAGAATGGAGTTCCTGGCTCTGGTTTCAGCCTGGCCCAGGCCTGCCTGTTGGAAGCCATTTGGGGAGTAAATTAGAGAAGGTAAGATTGATTTTTCACTTGCTCTGCCTTTCAAATAAATCATTAAAAGAGCAGAATGGGAGCCAGTGTCATGGCGTAGGAGATTAAGTCACAGCCTGCAGTGTCAGCATCTTATAGAGGCACCAGTTTAAGTCCCCACTGCTCCACATCAGATCCAGTTCCCTGCTAATGCCTGGGAAAGCATTAGAATATGGCCCAAGTGTTTGGGCTCCTGCACCCATGTAGGAGACCGGATGAAGCTCCTGGCTTTGGGCTGACCCAGCCCCAGTCACTGTGGTCATTTGGGGAAAGCACAGTGAGTTGAAGATTTCTCTCTCTCTCTCTAACTCTGCCTATCAAATAAATAAATAAATCTTAAAAATAAACAGTAGAGGGGCAGCGCCAGCATCCCATATGAGCACTGGGTTCTGGTCCCAGTTGCTCCTCTTCCAGGCCAGCTCTCTGCTGTAGCCCGGGAGTGCAGTGGAGGATGGCCCAAGTGCTTGGGCACCTGCACCCACATGGGAGACCAGGAAGAAGCACCTGGCTCCTCGCTTCGGATCGGCACAGTGCCAGCTGTAGTGGCCATTAGGGGAGTGAACCAATGGAAGGAAGACCTTTCTCTCTGTCTCTCTCTCACTGTCTGTAACTCTACCTGTCAAATAAATAAATTAAAAAATCTTTAAAATAATAAATAATCAGTAGAATGAAGGGGAAAATATAATAATCTCAAA